TTGGGATTATCTGGAGGAAAAAAAACCATACCATGGGCGGGGGTTAAAAACCTGCAATCATATCATTACGATTTCACGAGTCATTTGGAGGAGCTAAGAGTAAATGTTCCCACTTCCTTGCCCCCTCATCTGCTGCTCTTCTCGGTTCTCCAACGGGTTTTCACGTACTCCTTTAGCTACTCACCTGCTCCTTATCATCCCATCTCTGCTATCTGAGCCTCCTTCAGCCTTCTGGAGTACACGGATCATCAATTACCTCTTTCTTCGTCCCTTTGCCGCCTCTTCTAGATTTTTGTTTTTATAATTTCTCTTAATACCTCACCTGCCACCACCTTAGCCTTCCTATCTTTAGAGAGTATCACTGCCAGTCATTATTTCCAAATCTCTGGGCTTACTTACCTGACAGCTAGAATAGTCTGATTGAACAGGCAATTAGCATGGAAGGATGGCCCCAGGCTGGACTGTACAAGTAGAGAAACCCTCAAAATAAATTGCTGGTAAATGTCAGGTATCAGATGGATGGATGGATGGGGATGTGCTTTGGAAGGTCATTTGGCTATTGATTTTAGTGCACTTCTGGGAAGATGCAAGTTGAATGAGTGATGGCGAGTGCTCTTTGGATCACCCTACTTTAAAAAAAATGAAGGAAATATGAAAAATTTTCAGCTGCAGTACTTCATGCTATGTCATATGTATATTGTTAATAGATTTTTTCTTTAGAGATAGAGAATTTTGGTCAAACTTTTCACTATGATGTATCACCCCTTATTAAAAATATATTTCCAAAATTTCAGGATAAAAGGAAAAAGGCCCGACGCGAGACTTGGGCAGCTCCACCAGTGTACCGAGCAACGAGAGCCAGCATGTGCCGCATTAATGTAGAACCCATGAAAGTTGAGGACACTTTCTTGCATCCTGAGATTCCACCATGGGTAGAAAACAGTAAACATGCAGAAAGCATATTCTCTGATTCTTCATCTTCTGTAATGGATTGTTCTACTTCAGATGGTAATTTTTATACATTTATACTTGCAAGTACAGTAGATCATCAGTAATTATTGGCTTGAAAATTGGATGAAAATCATCATGATCCATTGTCAGGAAGGATAATCACATGTTTGGATTTGCTTCCAGTTCATCTCCAGATGCCACTTACGACAACCCTTTCATGCCGGTTTTGTTGTATCACAGCTTTGAAGCTAGTGTCAGTCCCGTAGTGTAACACCATACGCTCAGCTCACTCGTATAATCTGAGAGTGGTAAATTTGGGCCTAGATATGAGGAAATGGGTCTGTGCGGTAAGTGTGAACCATAAAAAAAAAAAAAAAGCCTGCAGCATGTAGTGCATAACGAGGGGGAAAATGCTACAATGTTTTTGGTTTAAAATGGCGACTTTCCGGTTTATGTTTGTATGGTTTTTATGATTGTATTCTCAGTTTCTTGGTCTCATTTGAAAGAATTGATATATTACAGAAATAGAGATGATTTTGGTAGGTGTTAGAACTAAAAGTTGCTTGAAATTGAGCTCAAAGTAGCTGAAATGTTCTATTTTTGCCAGTATTCCAGAGTACACAAATGATGTCGCTTATCCAATACACGTCCAAGTGGTCAGTCTAATACGCATTTAGGAATGCACTGACATTAAAAAATTACAGCCTCTTCTCATTTAGCGCCATACTCAGACTTATGACAGGCTCTGACCAGTTTGCATACCTAAATGTGTATTAGAGCTGATTTCCTCTTTTCTGTTTATTACAATATATTTACTCTACCTTCCTCTTACCAAACATTAGTAAACCACCACTGGAATACAACAAAGTTTCATTTAGACTCCATGACGAGGCCTCAATAAGGAAGTTCACAGTAGATCTACAGACTGTTGACTGGCTTACAGAATTCTCCAAGGCCAATGGTATTGGCGACTGGACAGACATTTTTCTTAACAAATTACTTAGACTATACAACAAACATTGTCCTATAAAAACGAAACAGATAACAAATAAACGGCTCGGTTGCCCATGGCTAACCAGCAGCATTCTGAAATCCATTGATAAGAAACACCTATATGAAAAGCAATATAGACAGGGCTTAATACACAGATATTCTTAAACACTATTCATCAGTTCTCACCAAAGTAATAAAGAAAGCCAAACAACTGTACTACTACAGCAGATTCACTGACACAAGAGGAGACATAAAGAAGACCTGGAAAACACACTCAGATTCTGGGGACCCACAAACTGAAAAAAAGAATATTGTCCTAACTAAACCTAATGAAACACCACTGCATCCCACTGAAACGGCTAACAAGATAAACGACTTCTTCTCAACCATAGGATCTAACCTTGCCAGTAAAATCCCACGTACCAACGCCCATGCCGGAGACTATCTAGATGGAAATTTCCTAAATTCCTTCTATCTTTTACCAACTGAGCCCTCCAAAGTCACTGAGATTTTAAAGTCACATAAAAATAACTCGGGGGAACCTGTCTCATGTCCCACCATTATTGTACAAGCTAATGGCCCATGTCCTCTCGCATCCTATTTCACTACTTTTCAACAAGTCACTAGAAACTAGCACCTTCCCGAAACTACTCAAGACAGCAAGGGTTACACCAATACATAAAGGTGGTGACCCTACAGATGTGAACAACTATTGGCTAATATCAAACTTACCATTGCTATCCAAAATCTTCGAGAAACTCGTGCACAGGAGACTGTACTCATTTATAATGGCACAAAACATACTCGACCCCTGCCAGTTTGGATTCAGGAATAATAAAAGCACTAATGATGCAATTGTAAAAATGCTATATCTGCTTTACACAGCATAGGAAAATAATGAATATCCGCTAGGAATTTTTTATTGACCTAAGAAAAGCTTTTGACACAGTAGACCATGGCATCCTACTCCACAAACTTAACCATTATGGTATAAGAGGCCATGCGCTTGCATATTTCAAATCCTGCCTTACTAATAGGTATCAGTATGTCACCATTAAAGACACAGCCTCATCAATACGGCCACTTGTTACTGGAGTTCCACAGGGAAGTGTCCTTGGACCCCTGCTCTTCCTCATTTACATCAATTATCTCCCAAATGCATCCCAACACCTGAAACCCATTCTCTTTGCTGATGACACGACTTATGTCATCTCTCACCCTAATCTTGCCACGCTAAACACCATTGTTAATGAGGAGCTACTCAAAATATCAACTTGGATGACAGCCAATAAACTTGCACTTAACACTGACAAAACCTACTATATTATGTTTGGTAGCAGAGCAGGTGCTGCGCAACTAAACATTAAGATCGACAACACTAATTGCCAGACATAATGAGGGCAAATTCCTAGGCCTATACCTCGACAACAACCTGAATTTCAGGTCCCATATCCAACACATATCAAAATAAGTATCCAAAACAGTTGGGATCCTCTCCAAGATACGATACTACGTGCCACAAAATGCCCTTCTCACACTATACCATTCACTCATTTATCCATACCTCACCTATGCTATTTGTGTTTGGGGATCAACTGCAGCAATACACCTAAAGCCAATAGTAACTCAACAAAAAGCCACAGTAAGAATAATCACTAAATACCATCCCTGGCAACACCCCTCCCCCCTCTTCATAGATCTAAACTTAATCCCTGTACAGAACATCCACACTTACTACTGTGCAATCTACATATACAGAACCTTAAAATTCAATATTAACCTTGGCCTAAAATGCTTTCTTGTTAGTTGTGACAGGACCCACAAGCATAACACCAGACACAATCATCTCTGCGACATTCCCTGTGTCCGACTAAACCTTTACAAAAATTCAACGTATGTCAAAGGTCCTAAAATCTGGATCACCCTACCTGAAAACTAGAACTGCAGACACATTCATCACCTTCAAAACTACCGTTAGAAATCATCTTATCTCCCTGATACACCCCGTCAACTAACTACATAAAAACCATCTGGTGGTTCACACTTACACTCGCTCGCTCACCCATTTGACTATAAGCAAAGAAATACGTATCGTAGTCTTAAAATGATGAATCCTAACTAGTCACAAGTTTGCCTGTGTTCCTCCAATATAGGAACTATGTATTGTGCCAAAACAAAAGCATTCACATTGCTAAACTCACAAACTAGTGTTTAGTCAACTTGCCCCGCAATTTGTAATAATTTACGGTTAAGAATTTTAAGTTTGCCCGAAAGGCCTAGCCATGCTAGGTGTTCTAGCGGCCCCCTCTGTAATTAGTATTTTATTACATGTTAACCACACAATAACCAAAATCTGTAAACCCCGCATTGTAATCCTTATAGAGAATAAACTTCGATTTGATCCAGAATGAACAAAATGACACGTGACTAGTGGTGACATCCATTCCTGCTCCTGCCCTGACCATATCTTCCTATGCTCTTATTATAAGAGGAGACTGAGTGTTTGTGAGGCTAACTGCACTAGATCACTAGTTTCATAAGGAAAACACTGAAAGAGTATATTCATAAATAAGAAATATTATATAAAAGCATAATAGAGAATGTAAAGAAATAAACAGGCTTTATAAAGTGTACGTACATACGTATTTACCTGGGAGAAGAGATGCTGGCGACATGGAGGGTGGAAGGTTGGCAGAGCTGCGTATGCTGTCGGTGGCCGACAACCACAATCTGCTTGTGTTTATCTATGATTTCAGACTTTAATTCCATGGACATCATGTTTTTCTTCTCAGCACTGTCCTTTGCATTTACTTTCTTAAGGCCCATGGTTAGAAAAACGAAATTTGCCAAAATAACTGTACAGAATGCAAGCAAAGCACAAGAGAAATGCTTCCACTGCTCAGCGGATGTTTTGGCATTCGCTGCGCCAACTAGTGGTGGCCTTCTGAAGCTCCTCACTATTATTATTATTATTTTAGGGAACTTAATCATAATAATATTATTATTATTATGGTGAGAGGCTCTTGATCTAGGGAATTGGATCTGTGCTCCAGTTCTCTAAATTAATAATAATAATAGTGAGGCGCTTCAGAAAGCCACCACTAGTTGGCGCAGCGAATGCCATAACATCCACTGAGGAGTGGAAGCATTTCTCTCGTGCTTTGCTTGCATTTTGTACAGTTCTTTTGCCAATTTTTTTTTCTAACCATGGGTCCTAAGAAAGTACAGTGGACCCCCCAAGTTTCGTGATTAATGCGTTCGAGAGCCCACCGAAGGTCGAAATTCACGAAACTCGAAACCATTTTCCTCCATAAGAAATAATGGAAATAAAATTAATCCGTTCCAGACACCCAAAAATATTAAAATGAAATACTTTTTTTCAAATTAAATAAAGATTTACATAATGAAAATCAGAAATCAAGTACATGCATTTAAAATAAGGGCAATGTGTGGTGTAAATATTATGCAGAAAATTCGGAGTGTGGAAATTAGGTAAAGGTGTGGAGTTAATAAAAGTATTAGAGGGCAGAAGAGGGGTTGAGGTGGTTTGGTCATTTAGAGAGAATGGATCAATGTAGAATGACATGGAAAGCATATAAATCTATAGGGGAAGGAAGGCGAGGTAGGGGTCGTCCTCGAAAGGGTTGGAGAGAGGGGGTAAAGGAGGTTTTGTTGGCAAGAGGCGTGGACTTCCAGCAAGCGTGCATGAGCGTGTTAGATAGGAGTGAATGGAGACGAATGGTACTTGGGACCTGATGATCTGTTGGAGTGTGAGCAGGGTAATATTTAGTGAAGGGATTCAAGGAAACCGGTTATTTTCATATAGTCGGACTTGAGTCCTGGAAATGGGAAGTACAATGCCTGCACTTCTTATCTGGGGTTACTTCCCTTCTTCTTATAATGCCACTGGGAACAACTTGAGTCACTGGACCCCTGGCACACAAAATATCTATCCAGAGAGGTCTTTTTCTGGTGTTTCTTTAAGATTTCCCTGAAGTGGGACACAACACTGTCATTGTACATGTTGCAGATACGGCTTGTTTCAGCTTGGTCAGGGTGATACTTTTCAACAAAACTTTGCAACTCATTCCACATTCCAAACATGTCCTTAATCACTGAAGAAGGCACCTCATCCACTCCCTCTTCCTCCTCTGAAGCAAGTTCCTCGGCTGTGGTCTGATGGTGTTCCAGTTGAAGCTCTTGTAGTTCGTCACTGGTTAGCTCTTCCCTGTGGTCCTCCACCAACTCTTCCACATCCCCGTCACTCACTTTATTTACCAAAGGGCTTGCACTAGCTTTCCTTGGGTCCAGGATGACTTATTTAGCAGTTGCAATCACAAAAAATAATGGATTATTATGAAATGTATTGTATGAACCCACGGGGTGATGGTCACGTGTTGGTAAACAATGGCACACTGAGCATGAATGGCGTGGGAGACTGGCTGTGTGTGCGCGGTGACAGGCGGACGGGTACCGGATGGTCGCCGAAACATGAGTTTTTTCACGAAACTCGAGGCCAAATTCTCCCCCCCCCTCCCCCCCCCCAAAAAAAAAAACGCCGAAGGTCAAATTTCACGAAATTCAAGGCTTCCGAAACTTGGGGGTCCACTGTAAATGCAAAGAACAGTGCTGAGAAGAAAAAAAATATCCATGGAATTAAAGCATGAAATCATAGATAAACACAAGTGTGGGTTGAGGGTGGAGCTCGCTCGCAACTCGGATTTTGGCTTGTAACTCAGCAAAAAATCGACCGAGCGACGGCTCATATTTCAAAAAACTTGTATGTTGGGGGACTCGTAAGTCGAGGTTCCACTGTACATGCATGTGTAGTGTGACCTAAGTAGCAGTAGCAAGGCGTACCTGAAAACTTGCGTGTTTGTGAGACAGAAAAGGACACCAGCATTGCTATCATAATGTAAAACAGTTAGTCATATTCCTTCTAATTCTGTTCCTATTTAGTGCAAATTCAGGGCCCCCAGTTAATCGTCATAGGAAAGATTTCTGATACATAGGATCAACTTCATCCTCATTTATACGCTTTCCAGTGCATTTATGTCCATTCTGTAATGCAGTGACCAGAACTGCGGCATAATCTAAACTAGGCCTAACCAACGATATATAGTTGAAGTATAACCTCGAGTACTCCTGCTGTTTATACAGGTGGGTCCCATTTATAGAGCAGGTTTAGGTCTGTGCTACTGCTGTAAAGTGAATCATAGCCTCTTTTAACTTTCAAATGCATAAAAGCCTAATAACATTTTTACACTATCAATTATTAAGTGACCAGTAGATAGGCCTTAAAAATGCTTGCTTTAAATATTTTCATCCTTAGCTTCTAGTGAGTGGTGAGTATGTATATTTATTGTAGAAAGTCTAAATAAATAAAGAATAGGTATAATTGAAAACTTTTGTGTAGTGGGGCCTGCCTGTACGTACATGATATGCAGCCAAAAATTTTATTCGCTTTATTGCAAACACTTCTGCACTGTTGTCTTGGCTTTAGATTATTACCTAGAACTCCTATGTCTTTTTTGCATTCAGAGTGATGAAGATCTATATTATTTAGTTTATAAGTGCCATGGTTATTTTCTTTTCCAGGGCTTAGAAAGTTGCATTTGTCTTTGTCTATATTAACTAACGCCTTGAGGGGTCCAGACCCCCAGTCTAAAGCTTTTCCACAGGATCCAAGAATTTTCAGAAATTATTTTTTGTTATTTCTTCCTATGAAATGGTAGAGAATCTTTTTCTGAAGGTAATAAAATGTATGAAATTTGGTGAAAAATAAACTAAATTATATTATAGCAAATTTTGCTGTGTCGGCGATTTTGCCCACTTTGAGACCTATTTTAGGTCGGTTACCAAATTATTAGCTATTTTGCTAGTATGCCTTCCATTTTATTGATTGAGCACAAACAGCCTCATGAATTATTTTAGCTATCTAGAACAGTAATCAGAAATTAGTACTGTAATTTGGCTAATTTCATGCAGATTTCAAAATATTCCAATTTCAAAATAAGGTTCAGAATATGCAGTGCAGGCATTCACAATGAATTTTTATTCACATCAAAAAATGGAGGATTTACCTTTCTGCAATATTGTATTAATTGTATATATAACAACAGGGCATTTTGTAAATCTGTTAGACCCACCAGTTGATGTGCATTGGATGCATGATGTGATTTGTTTATTCTTGATCATTGGCTAAAATCAAATATTTCTGCTACTTTGAGCTCACTTTTGTGCTATTTTTCCATCCTAAACCGATCAAAATCATCTCTTTCTATAATATATCTTCCGTTCTGTCAAATAAGACCCAGAAACTGAGAATACAACCATAAAAAACATACAAAAATATACTGCAAAGTTTTTGTTTTAAGCCAAAAGCATGGCAGTTTTTTCGCATTATGCACTGCGTACTGCAGGATTTTTTTGTGTGTAGTGCACACTTACTGCATAGAACCATTCTCTCATATCTAGGCCCAAATTTACTACTCACAGCTTATCTGAGTGACCTGAACTCATCACATAGTACATACTATAACACAAATCCTGGCTTTAAACCCCTAGAACAATGGCAGGGATCCTCAAGGGGTTAAACTGCATTTGCCATTTCTCCAACTGCTGCATCAGTATTTTCAGATCTTCCTGCAGTGCTCTAGTGTCCTTACAAGAATTAATCTGATGGCTTATTTTGGTGTCTTCAGCAAAATTGCTTGTGTTGCTATTTATTCCCTCGTCTATGTCATTTTTGTATGTTGTAAAAAAACAAAGGACCGATCACTGACTCCTGTGCAACACACCTTAGGATGTGTCCCTACTCTGAGTTCTCTCCCTTTATGTAAACTCTGTTGTATATTTGTCATCCATGTCTCGATCCAGGAACAAATTTCTATTGTGTGTGACCACTCTCCTCCACAATCTCTGATGTGGTAATGTAGTTTTGGGTCACCCTACCTTGGTGGGAGATGGCCAGTGTGTTGGAAAAAAAATAAATCTTAACTCTCCAAAGTTATTAAGATCTTGCTGAAAGTCTTAATGTGTTGGTACTGTCACTCCATTTCTACTAATTATTGCTTTGTAATTTGCTTTACCACATAAGGCATTTTCTGAAGTATATCATTTTAACAGGGTTTGGAAAAGGAGAAACAAGTTTTGCTATGGACTTGGCTGAGCAGTCAAAGCTGGGAAAGTTAGATGCCAGTTTTGATTCCCCTCGGCGTATAATTTCCAAACGTCGTAAAAGGGTCCAGTTTGAGTTAGGTCCTCCACTGTCTACAAGTTACTGTAATGTTGAATGTCAGACTGAAGAAAGTTTACTTTCTAACATAAGGTAAGTGCACCTCATTTCCATTGTAGTTTTGTGGGACATGATTTCTCTTTCAGTTTCTTTTCCTCTGTCATCTTCTCTGTCTTGTCTCCTCTCTGTCTTGTCTCCTCTCTCTCTCTCTCTCTCTCTCTCTCTCTCTCTCTCTCTCTCTCTCTCTCTCTCTCTCTTCTCTCTCTCTGTCTCTCTCTCTCTGTCATCTTCTCCTCTCTCTGTCTCTCTCATCTCTGTCCTCTCTCTCCTCTGTCTCTCCTCTCTCTGTCTCTCTCTCCTGTCCTCTCTCTCTCTGTCTCACTCTCTCTGTCTCTCTCTCTCTGGTCTCCTCTTCTCTCTCTCTCTCTCCCTTCTCTGTCTCTCTTCTCGTCTCTCTCTCTCTGTCTCTCTCTCTCTGTCTCTCTCTCTCTGTCTCTCTCTCTCTGTCCTCTCTCATCTCTGTCTCTCTCTCTCTGTCTCTCTCCTTCTGTCTCTCTCTCTCTCTCTCTCTCCCCTCTTCTGTCTCTCTCTCTCTGTCTCTCTCTCTCTGTCTCTCCTCCTCTGTCTCTCTCTCTCGTCTCTCTCTCTGTCTCTCTCTCTCTGTCTCTCTCTCTCTGTCTCTCTCTCTCTGTCTCTCTCTCTCTGTCTCTCTCTCTCTGTCTCTCTCCTCTCTGTCCTCCTCTCCTGTCTCTCTCTCTCTGTCTCTCCTCCTGTCTCTCTCTCTCTTCTTCTCCCTCTCTCTGTCTCTCTCTCTCTGTC